TGACTACCAGACCATGTACTCAACTTCCCACTTGCCATTACCTCCCAGATAGCTCAGCTAAACATGTCTGAAACTACTGGATATTCTCCCAACTCCTCAAAATTGTTCCTTCTCTACACTTCCACATCTCAGCAAATGGTACTTCCATCCAAGATTTGCATAAGCAAGTCCTTGTTCACGCTTCCTACAACACCCCACCCATCCAATCCACATCTCTAGGTTCCAACATTGTAACATTGGTCTCCATCCCCACTGCCATCTTAACTAACCATCTAATTTGTGCACCTCTCAATCAATCTCTAGACAGCAGTTGCCACAAGAATATCACTAATAATTTAAATCTTTCAGCAGCTGCCCATCAAATCGTAAAATAAAAATCTAAAAATCTCAAATGGCATACAAAGACCTGGATCTTGGTCACCTCTCCAACATCATTTTGGGTCCTTCTCCCATGTGATATAATACATTTACTGTAGTCCACGGCTCTGGGCACACGTGTTTCAGTTCCTGAAGCTCTTCCCCATATAGGGACTAGTCTCTTTGTGACATACTACAGCCACCTCCACCCCTCTGCCTTTATCTAACTTTTCTCATAGTTCAGGTTTCTGCTAAAGTACTTTTAAAGGCTTCCTTTATCCTCTACTATAAATTGAATCCGTTTTTCTCTAAAACCCTGTGCTTTCTTCTCATGTAATTTTCAAAAGCATTAACTACATTAATTCCATGATTTCTGTTTAACATTTCTCTTCCACACTAGAATGTGTAAGGTTCCTCAACAACAGAGAAACATCTGTTTTGTCCTTCGCTGTGTACACAGCACCTAGTACAGAGCAAAGCACATGAAGAGGCACTGTATAAACAGATATGTACAGTCCTCCCCTTCTTGGTCCTCTCTCAGAAACTTTAACTTACAAGTTACTGGAAAACCACAGATAATTTCTGCAAATGAGATATACTTACACCCATCATTTTCTTACTGCAAAAACAAACATTCTTTATTAATTTCCTATAAAATTAACAATGAGAACTGATTAACACTTAAGCCTAAATTTGCCCCCCTTAATCTAAGTCATCGACTCTGACAGAACTACTACACTTCTACAGAGCTCTATAGTAAATTTCTGGCCTCCAACTACTGACAGTGCCACCAAATCCCCATGCCCACATCAGATAGTCTTCCCCACCCAATCATGTGCAAAATATCATTACTATCTAACCCCCGTAACTTCATGATTAAATTATCTCAACGCATTATAGACAGTGTCCCAGCCTCTACACCAACCAGTTAAGTGTACTTAGAACCAAAACTCTTAGAAGAAAAGGTCCCCTACTCAAAAGCGAACTTCTCCCTGTTAAAAATCAATAAATATTAAATTCCTCTAAAGAGTACTGAAGGGCTATGGAGGCATGTGATCAAAAAGCCAGTACTATGAACTTGGAAGATTACATTAAATTGTACAAGTATGTGCTTGACAATATGACACTGTTTCAAGCTAAATTTCATATATGCCCCATCTTATTTCTATAATGCAAAGCTGAATTTGGTTAGCATGCACTCCTGAAACTAAACTGCTTTGGAGAAAATCCGTGAAAATGCCCCACTATACACTATCAGCCTTCTAAACTTTGAGCAGGATCTAAAAAGGTGCAATTTGTCAGCATTTTCAAACAAATATGTATTCAACTAGAAAGACAGTATGATACAAAGAATGTAACATTTCAGAGACAAAACTACTCCAACAGTTTAGGTGTAACATACAACATAACTACATGTAATCCTGTGAACCTGTTTATATTTTTAAAGTTAAATATGTAAAATATATAAATATGCATGTGCATATATATGCATACAAATAGATATACACATATATATAGTTTATCCTCATTATTTGGGGATTCCATATTTGAAAAGTCACCTAATTGCTAAAACATATTTGCATCCTCCAAATCAGTACAGTGGCACTTTCAGTTATTTGCACACGTGGACGTAGGGGTGGGAATTTTGAGTAGGCTAGGTGGAGTCAGTAGGCTAGGTGGAGTCAGGAAGGTGATGCTGTGCCTTCTGGTTTCATCTCTCATATTATAACCAAGTACCTTTTCAAGATTTATTTAGTGTCACGTTTTTCTCACTTTTGTGCTTTTTACTGGTGACTTTATTTTTTTAATATTTTATTTACTTATTTTTAGAGAGAGGGGAAAGGAAGGAGAAAGAGAGGGAGAGAAACATAAATGTGTGGTTGCTTCTCATGTGTCCCCTACTGGGGACCCCAGCTGCAACCCAGGCATGTGCCCTGACTGGGAATCGAACCAGCGACTCTTTGCTTCACAGGCCTGTGCTCAATCCACTGAGCTACACCAGCCAGGGCCAGTGACTTTATTTTTTAAATGGCTCCCAAGCATTACGTTGCCTAGTGTTCCTAAGCACACAAAGGCCATGATGCCCCGTACAGAGAACACAGGTGTATTAGCTAAACTTCATTTAGGCATGAACTGCAGTTGGCCATGAGTTCAATGTTAATCAGTCAACAATATATATTAAACAAGGTGTCTTTAAAAAGAAACACAAACAGAACAAGGGTGAAGAGGCTTGCAGTACCCTAACCCTGTTTTTCTCCTAAGAGGAATGGTTCGGTATTCGCCAATTTGCTGTTTATGGTGATTTTATAGAACATAACTAATGAGAGAGAGAGAACATGAGCGCGCTTGTGGGTGCGCTGGATGTTATGAAGCCTCAAGACACTGCAGAGGTCATTCGGAGCAATCTCCCCATGTTTGCAGTACAGTAGTAAAAACACCTCAGGGCACAGCATCTACAGGGTCTTGGGCCCTACTTAAACAGACTTAAAGCAAAATATTTTAAATCTACCAAATTTGCTTTTTGGCCTCTGGTTCTACCCATTTTTTCCACTAAATGGTATAACTCTCCCCAACTCAGGTACTCTCAACTCTAATGCCTTTTCAGAAGCACTTGCCCTAATCTTATAACCCAGCAAATGTACCTGTCAATTATTGGTCATTCTTGAATGTGAACCAGACTTGTGCTTAAACACCTTGCCTGAATTGTGGCATTACTTATTTGGAAAGAAGAGAGAATATTAAGCATCTAAAATAGGAATAAATTACCAGAATCAAAAAGCAAAGCAAATACAGATAATTTCGGTTGTGTATGTGCTAGAGAGCACATCGGAGAGGAAAGAGAGTCCAGGCCTCAGCCTCCCCTCCAGGGCAAACTAAAGCCTAGTCCCAGAAGCTGGGGTACTGGGTGGCAAAGTTCCATCTTCCGAAAATGGTTTCTTCAACCCTTGCTTCCTCCAAGCACTTGATTACAGATTTTTCCAAGAGAAAGGACATATCAGTGGAAGATTAGTGCTTGGATTTTTTTTTTAATTTTTAAGCGATTGAGTCAGCTTTGATATTTTTCATTAATTTTCCAAAATTATTTATTTTATTGAAAATGACTTGGTTAGGGTAATGATAGGATATGTTTAGAGGAGTGATAGAAGCTACAAATGCAAAGTCTAGTTTGAAGAAATGTCAGTGTTTTCTCTCTAGTAAATAAAAGACCCATCTGCAATTTAGTGAAATGAAGTCAATGCACTAATACTGAAGCCAACTTCAGTTACTTAATATAATTCAAAGATAGAAGTATGGCATGTGTGGTAACAGCCATCTTCTTCCTAAAACCTACAACTTAATCTAAACCATCACTTGAAATTCACACCCAATGAAGGCCAGGGAAATTGTACAGCCTAGAAAATCTACCTATCATGACCAATGACCATATATATTCATTCTTTTAAGAAGCTAAAGATCCTTCCTCCAACTCTCCAAGGTTCAGCTAGGCTCATTATTAGGGGCAAAGTTCTGCAAAACAATGACATCCACCTCTAAATAATTCAACATTTCTTTCCCTTTAGAATATTTTATAGACAAAAGCCTTCAGATTTTTCTCTTGTACTAATCTGCTATGGCATTTCAAAAAAACAAAAGTGGAATCTCAGCCTACTGCCTTCAAACCACATTATCTTTCAGAGAACCAAAACTACTCTTCAAATTTCTTCTCCCTTAACCTTGAAACTTAGAAGGGCTGTTTATCAACCAATTCTTTCATATGAGTTTTTCAAAGCATTTCTTTTGTAAATTCATTTTGCAATTAAAAACCCAAAAGTCACTGAACCGTGTAATAAACAAGAGAAAGTATTTTGAATAAGCCAATTATACAAGTAATACAAAACTACTTGTAGGATTTTTTCTTTTTAAAATGGAGTAAACTTTTTAATTGTAAGCAAACCTGAAACTTCTAAAGATACTAAAGGACGGAACACAAAACTTCCCAAGTTAAAGTTTACCTGCTTTCTAATCACCACTTAAAAGTACTACCAAAGGGACAAACTGAAAGGGGATGAATAGGAGAGATTCTAAATAACAAAAGATAAAGGGATTTCAAGTTTACCTGCTTGCCCAAAGCCACCTACTAATTGAATCACCTCCAACATGCGCACACACAGAAATATATTGCTTTTCAATTGATGACAGAGCAGGCGCAAAACCAGGTTCAACATCGGAGGCTACAGGGTCGTGTGCCTCGCGACACAGCTGGAGCCTCAGATGAAGAGGCCAACCAACGCATGACACCCGCCTGAGCCACATCTGGCAGAGCAGAGCCTCAGTCCTACTCGATCTGACCCTCTAATGAGTCACTGACCCAATCATAACCCACATCACTCGCTAGGACGTTTTCTATTTATTTCCTCGCGTCAAGAAGGACCGAAAATGACAAACTCATAATGAGAGCTCTGCACTGGTCAGAGCAGCAAGCGGCGAGAAGAGCTGGCTTAAGAGCGAATTCCCGAGTTACTCTTAAGAGCCCCCGCTGGCCCAACAGAGGATGCAGAGAGGGAAGAGTAAACCGAGAGGGCGACCAGAGAAGCGAGCGAGGACCGGGAGAAGCCACCGCCACACCCCAACCCTACCTCACCTGCCTCCCCGGGCGCCCGTACCTTCAGCCAGCGACTCCTCCAGGGTGACCTGGTAGCGGCCGACCGCGAACACCCGGACCCCTACAGACGAGCTCCCAGAGCCAGAGCCGGCCCCGACCCCGACGGCTCCGCTGCCCGCCACTCCTCCTCCGCCGCCCTCCGTCTTGGGCATTCGAGAGAACTTCTTCATGGTCCCGCCGGCGCGCCCGAGGGCGCGGGGCGTGTACAAGGGCGCGGGAGAGGGCGAGTCCACAACCCAGAACGGCCAGTCACCCGAAAGGGGTCGCCGCCCCTCGCCGTTCCAGCGTCAGTGAGTGCTTAGGGCCGCCGAGCCTCACATTCCGCGCTCCCAAAGCTCACTGCCCCGGCCCCGCCACCCGCTCCGAGGTTCCCCTGCAGCTGCCTGGCTCCCGCAGAGGGCAGTGGGGAGGGCGGGGATCGGGCGGGGCGTTAGGGGGCGGACCCGAGCGCGGGAGCCACGCCAAAGCCTTCCCCAGTGCCCCGGGCGCCCCCGCCTCTCTGAGCAATGGGAGCAGAGCCCGGGAGGAGGGAGCAGAATGGGGAAGAGGGCGGAGCGGACGACCCCTGCGGAGAGTGGGCTGGGCTTCCCAGGACCCGCACGGTCTGGACCGCAGCCCGCGGCGCCGCCGGAGCTAGACCCACGCCGCCCGCCACTCGTGGCCGTTGGCGGCGCGGCTCCGTTGCCAACCGCTCAAGGAGGCTGGGCGCCTCGCGCAGGCGCGCTGCCCGCGCCGCCGGAAGTGACGGTTCCGGCTCTTGTCACGTGCGGGGGGGGGGGTGTGGATGAGGGAGGTGGGAGGTGATTGTGGGGTAGGTCTGGGGCCCCGGGCCCGGGGTCCCGACCGGGAGGCAGGCAAGACCTGTAGAACCCGGGCTTCGAGCAGGAAGCTGGCCCGGGAACCTGTTCCCGCTCTGCCCGCGAGGCGGGGTCTGCCATGTCTGTTAGGAGTTTGTATGTTACACTGGGGACTGAAAAACGCCGCCAACGACTTTACCCCCGCTAAGGAACTTTTGCTGCATCTCTAAGCCAGTTTCCAGATCTCCCTTGAGAATCGTCTTCCGCTCGCCCACCCGAAGCGTGGGGGATAGGGGCAGCACGGAACTAGAGCGGATTCCCGTAACCGACTTCTAAAACCAGTGTCGCACCGTAAGACGCTTGTGCTGGGAAGCGTTTTGCGGTTTATAAATTAGGTGTACTTTCAAAGTCTCACGTGTGCTGCGCAAGAGCCGTGAGATATTCACAACAGGTATCATACCGTTTACATACCGTCACCTTTGGCCAAGAGAGTTTAACGGACTCTTCCAAGGTCACACAGAGGGTTCGTGGCAGAGCTGAACTAGGACGTCCATCCGTCCATGCTTAGTTCCATACTGGAGAAGTAGGTTTAGGTCAGATCATTGCAAAACGGGAGATTTACGATCGTTTGGAAACACCATCATTGGGTTTCTCTGTCCCGCTCTCCCCCACCCCACCACCACTTATTTAATAGATTTGTTCATTAAAAAAAAAGAAAAAAAGTCCCGTTGCACCCATCTCATAAACTGCGGGTATCTCAGTGCCTATGGGGTGAAGCACGCTAAATGGCCAAGGGAGTAAGGGCAGGATAAGGAGCAGCAAGTTGCAGGGCATGTGTGAAGAGAGGAGCTGATTCTCAGCTCCAGCCTGCTTTTCCTCTGAGAATACAAGGCCACTGTGGCCAAAGGTTCCAGTTCCTTAAGAAGTCAGAAATCTGACTTCTCAGATTTCTGAGAATTTCTGAGGATGAATTTAAGAATATGGTATTTGCCAAATTTTTTAAATGTAGGCCAAATAAGTTGTAACTGTAGAACTCGGGTGTGCACCTTCTATGGAATCTCCAACCCCATTTCTTTATCCAACGTTTTAATGAGATACAGGCAGAAACTTTAGGAAATGTGCTTAGGCAAAAGACTTTAAGCTTTAAAGTCTTCCATTCTTCCCTCCCCTTTGCTATTTGAAGAGCAGCTATTTTTGCCGATGCCACCACAGTGCTCTGATTTAGGCGTTTTTGCTGCACAACTTACTAAGCTAAATTTCTTCATCAGGATACCTGACCTTTAAAGTACATTCCTGCTCAATGGGAGTCAGATTTACTATGTCACAGGATTGGGGATTCATGCCATTTAGATTCATGCCAATTGGGGATTACCATTTAGAAATAAGGTTTTGTTTTGTTTTTTTTACTGAGGGGATTCACTGTGAAGTCTCATTCCTACATTTGAATTACATTTTTCAAGCAGATGAAGGAGATATTTAGCCATGTCATTCAATTCAAAACTGGAATCAGTCCAGCATACAGAGTTTGGGTCTAATACAACTTCACCTGATCACAATAAATAGTTTACAAATAGATCACAAGAATAAATATCAGTTTTGGAGCCAATTTAATACAATTGCTATAGTAAGGAAAATCACTTCTATGTACCCATAGAACCTGATGTCTGATCCAGAAGTTGATAATTAGTTTAAGGCATAGACACACATACACCCTGCCAAAACTATGGGTAACACAAAGCAATGTATTTACTTTTTCACCAAGCATGTAATAAAATTTGAATAGCCTCTGATCTAAACAGACTGTTAACTGCACAAAATTCTATGACAGATAATAAATAAATAACTACTAACAAAAATGCCAAAGCATTGATAAAACATTTCTGCTAGCAAAAATTATTGATGTCTACTGTCAGATTGTACCCTTACAGCAACTTTGTGAGTTAAGAAGGAACATTGTAAAACCAATTTGTAGGTAGAAGTTGAGATACTAAGGGCAGACTGTTAAGTAGCAGAAAAATTTTGTTGCGAATTATAGCACTTTACTTTGCACTTATTGTTAGGCCATGGTTATGAGAGAATATCCAATTTGGCTGTGGGAAATAAAATCTCTGAAAAATATGTGTATGGATAATATTAATTCTGACCACCTTAAAAACTGGCATTGAGGTGACCTACAATAAGAACCCAGATATTGAATAATTTAATAAAGGTAAAGAGTTAAAAATTACATTTCAACTTTCAAATGTTTGTAGCTGTACTGCTATTAAAAAATAGTTGGGAACTGGCCACATAATGAACTTTTTTTAAAACAGATTGCTTCACTTTGCAAGGTTTCGTGTTACAGAATTCTGATAAAGTCAACAGTTCATTGTAGCTAACTAAAGGTTTCTGATATCCTCAAACAAGAAGGATTTTGACAATGGGGGGAAGGAAGGTTATTGTATTTTATCTTCTACTGGAAAGCCATAACCCTTCTTGTAACTCTGACCCTCATCTATTTTGTAGTAAAGGGGCTCTCAAAGACACATGTAAAAGTGAGAGTGACTGACATGAGTCAAATAAAATATATTTATCCCAAAAGGCTTTGTCCAGTGCCATAATTACCTTTATAAGTCATCACTTCCGATGCCTGAAGAATCATTTTTGCTCACAAGTCAATGTTTCCCTTTGATGATGTACCTCTATCATTATTAACCTCATAATGTTTCACCATTAGGGATATTATTTTCTTTGCCTAACATTATCGCTTTATACCTAGTTAAATGTTCAAATCTTTGCTTTCTGAGAAAGTAAAAGTCTTCCAGTCCATTAGTTAAAGAACATATGTCTCCATTATTAAAAGAAGTGGCTCTTTAAATCACTGATATTTAAATCCTATTTAAAGTACTCCACATTATCACTACATTATAAATGTTACACTAAGAAAAATCAATCTTATTGTCTGGTTTAAAATACCAAGCTGCTGCCCTCACCAGTGTGGCTCAGGTGGCTGTGCATCACCCCTCAAAGGGAAAGGTCGCCAGTTCCACTCCCGTCGGGGTGTGCGCCAGGGCTGCGGGTTCTGTTCCCGATCCAGGTGTGTGTGAGAGGCAACTAATTGATGTGTCTCATGTCAACGTTCCTCTCCCTCTTTTTCTCCCTTCCTTCCCCTCTCTCTAAAAATAAATAATAAAATCTAAAAATAAAATACCAACCTGCTTACAAATACTCTGAATAGGAAATATAACTCATTTGACTTGAAGTGATTTTTTATGATACAATTTTTACTACTACTTGACCGTACTTACAAAAATGACTTCAAGAGGTAGTCCACTTCAGCCCTGGCTGGTGTGGCTCAGTAGATTGAGTGCCAGCCTGCAAAGCAAGGGGGTGCTGGTTCGATTCCCAGTCAGGGCACATGCCTGGGTGGCTGGCCAGGTCCCCAATAGGGGATATGCAAGAGGCAACCATATATTGATGTTTCTCTCCCTTTCTTTCTCCTTCTCTTCCCCTGTGAAAACAAATTTAATGAAATCTTACCAAAAAAAAAAAAAAAAAAAAGTAGGCTACTGAGATAGACTAGTTGATCCCCCACCCAGGCCAGCAGGTTCCATCAGGTTCACAGCACCTCAGCCTCACACCTCATGGCAGGGATATTTTTCTGCCTGAAGAAGTTATCTGGCCTAAATTGGATATTACAGTCACATTTCTGGATATTTTCCTAACATTCCTCTCTTTAATAGCCTTTGCATGTCCTTCCTATGGCCAAGTACTACCCTGCTCCCTGTTACATTCCTATAAAAATTCAGCAGAATATAAAATAAGAATTAATTCTGATTAGGTATTTGTGATATACCAGTGCTATTCTAAAGTGCATTACACGTACTAACTCAGTAAATCTTTATGACAATGCTATTAGATAGCATTTAGTATCCTACTTTTCAGATAACAAAAAGTAGAATACTGCTTTCATTAGATAGGTTAGTATCCTACTTCGCAGATGAGAGGATATTGATGCACAGAGAAATTAGGTTGTGTGTTCAAGGTCTTAAAACTTGCCCAAGGTTCACACCCAGGTAGTATGGCTTATAGCTCATGCTCTTTACCCCTATACCATGCAGACTTTCCTTGAAAATGTGCAATAAATGATATGATAGCTACAATCTGAGGTAGCAGGCTCCCCTCCTATGCCTTCTGGCCATATCACTTACCTTACTATGAGTGTGCGGCTAGAGTTCAGGAAACCCTACTATATAATAAGTTAGGTTATCTTTATATTCTGATTACTTGCTGAATATCCACAGTGGATCAGGGGTGTCCAACCCATCACTGGCAGGCCCCATGTGGCCCAGGATGGCTATGAATGCGACCTAACACAAAATTGTAAATTTACTTGAAAACTTTTTTTTTTGCTCATCAGTTTTTATTAGTGTTTGTGTATTTAATGTATGGCCCAAGACAATTCTTCTTCTTCTAGTATGGCCAGAGATATCAAAAGGTTGGACACCCCTGGTAGATATGCTGTGACTCGAGGTGGTAACTAGGCAAGGCAAAGTTGAATAAGACAAGTCAAGGTTTCAAAGAGCTTACACTCTTTTGAGAGGAGATACAAGTGTGTACACAACCATTTAAGAAAGACAGAGGGAACACTGATAGCGGGGGTAGAGCTGACTGTAAGCCCTGCACAGAAATGATGTGCTCTGAGATTACGCTATTATGGTATGTTGCCTTCAAATGTCCTGGCTGTATGGTTGATGTTATGACCTTAGAATCTTCTGGGGACAAAAAAGCAGCTCTTCTGGATTTGGAAGCAGGTTAGCAGTTCCCATGGAAAAGTCTTGAATTCTGTCTCAATGTGTTGAACTCTACACTTCCACAACATTC